TCATTTTCTTTTCTTTTTTTCTTTTTTTTGACAGGCAGAGTGGACAGTGAGAGAGAGAGACAGAGAGAAAGGTCTTCCTTTTGCCGTTGGTTCACCCTCCAATGGCCGCTGCAGCCGGCGCACTTTGGCCGGCGCACCGCGCTGATCCGATGGCAGGAGCCAGGTACTTATCCTGGTCTCCCATGGGGTGCAGGGCCCAAGCACTTGGGCCATCCTCCACTGCACTCCCTGGCCACAGCAGATAGCTGGCCTGGAAGAGGGGCAACCGGGACAGAATCCAGCACCCCGACTGGGACTAGAACCCAGTGTGCCGGTGCCACAAGGCGGAGGATTAGCCTAGTGAGCCACGGAGCCGGCCTTAGGTTCATTTTCAATTCTCTTTATATACAGAAGATCTATTTAGTATATATTAAGTAAAGATTTCATCAGTTTGCACCCACACAAAACATAAAGTGTAAAATATTGTTTGAGTACTAGTTATAGCATTAATTCACAATGGACAACACATTAAGGACAGAGATCCCACATAAGGAATAAGTACACAGTGACTCCTGTTGTTGACTTAAAAATTTGACACTCTGTTTATGGGGTCAGAAATCTCCCTAGGCTCTAGTCATGAGTTTCCAAGGCTATGGAAACCTCTTGATTCTAATATTCATCTTTCCTTTCTGAAGTTACAAGCTTTCTTCTATTACCATTTCTTTTATGTTTATAAAACTTGGTTTAGCTATTTCTTAAAGCTAATGATAAAGTTTCTTAGTTTTTATTCACTTGACAACATTTTCTTGAGAATCTATTCCCATGGTATATTTTTTCCAGGGATAAAACTAGCAGCTGATTATTTTATTTCAAGCATAAAACACTGCTATGCTATTTTCTTTTGACTTCCATGGTTTTAGGTGTGATACTCATTTTTTTAAGTGTTTCTCCCCTATAAAAATGTTATTTCTCTCTGAGTACTTCCATGATATTTTTTTACAGTTTTCAAGGTTAATTGTAATGTGTTTTTAAAGATTTGTCACATTTACACTTCAAATTCTTAAGTATGTTGAGTGATAACCACCAAATTTGAGAAGCTTTCAGTCACTATTTATTCAGCCTCACATTCTTTCTCCCACTTTATATGTGTGTGAATAAATTTTTATATATATATATATATATATATATATGTAATTGCATGTTTTTGTTTGTGCAGCATCAATGTGGTGGAATGAGAAGGCCATGCCACAGTAGCCACTGGCAATTGAGCGTCAGTTACTCAGGGATGGCTTTGGAAACTGCCTGGCAACAGGCTGTGATTGGATGGCCTTGAAACTGCCTGGCAACAGGCTGTGATTTGATGGCTTTGGAAACTGCCTGGCAACAGGCTGCGATTGGTTGGGGCATAGACCACCCCTTGCCCAGATTGGCTGGTCTTGGCTATATAAGATGTGGTCAACTGAAATAAACGAGTCTGCCGGCTGCTCGCCTCAAGCCTACTTTCACCCAACTCCCGGGGTCTGTGTGGTGACTCCATGCCTCTTGCCCCCACCACGCTGCTCCTCTCAGAAACAAATCCACTACAACACTGTTGAGAAATCAACTGCAACACATCACCTCTGTTTTGTTCAGATCAGGAAAATGCAATTAATTTGACCTCACTTTCTCTGAGTTTCCATATTTTATTCTCTGTCTTCTTTGCTTTACTATTCAGCTTATCCAGATCTTTCATTAGTGTTTATTGTATTTGTCAATTGTATAATTTGCATTTGGTTCTTTTTATTTAAACTTTATGTGTTTACCAGAATTTTCCTTTTCAGTTGTTTGATTCAAGATAATCTATACATTTTGCTAAAGCAATTGTATGAGGGCTGCTTTACAATCTTAGTTAATTATAACATTTGATTGATCCATGCGGTGGAGTAGATGTTCAGCTTCCTTTTTCTCCCTGATGAAACTTTGGGAACAGGAAATAGAATTTTATTGTTGTTTAGCTTGAGTATAGTAGTATCAGAAAAATTTTCTTCTGTTTTGTTAGGTTACTCTTGTTAAGTTCTTTGGCTGAAGAATCTGACATCTCTTGGAGCTTTTATTTGCCTTTTCTGTTGGGGTTTTTGGTTTTCAGGCTATTGCAATGCATTGTTCTGGATAGATGGGAACCAGTATTGAGGCCAAAGATCCTTTGCTGAGACATTTCTCAAATGACAGGATGTCTTAGTCTACCCAACTTCTTTCCAACTTTACATTGTTCCTATCCTTATTTATTTTCTTGGTCCTAGGATATTTTACTAGTGATGGAAAACACCTTGGGTGAATAAGCCTGCTTCATATTGCCCAGATCTCAGATGTATATGTGAAAATCAGCTCCCACCACATATTACCTGTTGGTCTGACCTTGTCAGTTGCCACTTATTAAGCTAATTGCATCCACCTGCACTGGTATTGTCTTGGAGCTCTGCCATATGCACTTATTATTTGGAGGCAGTCCAGAATGTTTCCATTGCACTCTTAAACATATTGTTGGATTTGTCAAGATGCAAGACACTCATACTCATTCATTCTGGTCATTTATCAGGATTGTTCATGCAGCTAACAGTTCTGAGAAGTGAGATCATATTCCCTCTAAGTGAAGAATTACCTTATTCTACTTGTCAATGACTTTAACATTACTTTGACTAGTATTTTTGTTATAAACACAAACTTTTTTTTGATCAGGAGGATACATGAAACTGTGATGAATCAATATGATAGCTTGCAATAAGTGTAAAAAATCCTCACAGCTATCATTGAGCTTATTTTCATAACACATTCTTGGATTATCATTCTTTATCATTGGGGGAAGGCCACTATTCTCATCAATGCACTTTTGTCACAACAAATAACATATTCTCTCATTCTTCTGCTGGACCATATTCATGTCTTACGTGTTTCAGCTTTAATTTATTTATCCAATCCAGCATATTTAGTTACCTGAATTTTTAAAGTACTATTTCCATTGTCTCTCTCAAAAATTCTGGTGTACCAAACATAATTAGAATTGGATGCCATTTTTGCATGTATCTAGGAGCCACTTTTGTAGTGAATTTACAAAATGTCACCATATCATTTGTGGAATTACAAACCACATGTCCTAAATGCATGCTCCTAATTTGATAAAAAGACTATCCATTATAGTACCAGTTTCATCTGATCAAACCCAAATGTATTCTCCTGGTTCCTCCTGTTACATATTAGCTAGAACTTGTAGCTCCCTTGATTCTTAAATCACTTTCTCTTATCAGACCTGGCTCATCTTCATTGGCTGGGTTAAATTGCTATTCAATTTAGTCATAGAAATCCTTCCAAGGAGAAGGCATAATTGCATAATCTGAGGGGGGGGGGATATGGTGCTTTCTTTTTTTAAAGATTATTTATTTTATTTGAAATTCAGAGTTACATAAAGAGAGAAGGAGAGGCAGAGAGAGAGACATCTTCCATCTGCTGGTTCACTCCCCAACTGGCCGCAACGGCTGGAACTGTACTGATTCCAAAGCCAGGAGCCAGGAGCGAGGAGCTTCTTCCAGGTCTCCCACACAGGTGCAGGGGCCCAAGGATTTGGGCCATCTCCTATTGCCTTCCCAGGCCATAACAGAGAGCTGGATCAGAAGTGAAGCAGCTGGGAATCGAACCGGTGCCCACATGCGATGCAGGCACTGCAGGCAGAGGCTTTACCTGCTATGCCACAGCACTGACCCCAAGAATACGGTGCCTTCTAGGGCAGAAGAAAACTCTGTATCCACTCCAATCAAGAAATATACTTTCTTCTTTATTGATTTCTTATTTTTAATTTTTTTAAGAAAACAGAGGATAAGACTACATTTGCATACTATGTACATTCAGAAAAGTCTTTGGATTCATAGCTTGGGAGTTTTCAGTATAGATATTTTCCTCATACTATGTGTCAATGCCATGAATATTTGAAATCAAATATTAAACTTGGCAGGGCAGGATTGATTTTCCCAGTGGAGAATTCAATTCTCTTTGGTGCTTGGTTACTCTGTCAATTATTTCTTGGGTGTGGTCCTCAACTTTTATTTCTCCCTTTTATTATAGGAAATTCAAACAAATTAACTGATCCAGAAAACATCTGGATATGCACATAGCATTCAACTAGCAATTCATCTGCCTCAGATTTCCATTTCATTCTTCAAGATTGCAATTGATCTTAGCAATAACCATTAAGTGTATTATTTGTATGCATATTCTGATTTTCATATTTCTTAATACTTGATATATCACAAGTACATGAATTATCTTTATCAGAATACATAGTTATATGTACCAGGATTATAATTTTCATTATTTCCATACCCAGTGCATAAGAGCCATTTATGTTTGCTTGGCATGCTACTGTAGGTGTACTTTGTTATGCAGAGTGCAAGTTATCCTCTGTCATAGCTTTCTTTCTCAACTTATTCTCAGTAACAATTGTTGCAGAATAGTTTCTCTAGAAAGTCAATTCCTTGATAAATTTCATAATTCAGGTTGTTATTATTTAATGTGCTCAGTTTTCTTAGAATAAACACCTGTATAAGAAAAGTTAACTAAACAGGAGTGAAAAGAGGAACGAAAAATTGGACTCCATAACAGCCTCAGTCTTACTTACAGTGAACTTTTTTTTATACATTGACATTGTGAAACAGAGATCCTGGTATGTATCCTTGTTAGTTATCCTTTTTTATTATTTCTTGGTAAGAAGTTTTATTTTTATATTTTGTCATCATTGTATGTCTTCAATTGTCGTAACTACTTGTCTCCTTACTGCCAGAAAAAAAAAGTCAATAAGCTGATTAAAATATTACGTTTAACTTTTCTCTTTTCTATATGTTTCAATAAAATTAAGATTTCCAAGGAGAGTTTCCCCCTTATAGAATAAATTTCAGCATTTTTTTTTAAAAAGGCTCAGGCATCCTTAACATGATTGTCATCACAAAAGTGTTTACTCCAGCAACTTGACAGTGATTCTCACCCTGTCACACTAGATCGTAACACAATGCACATTTTTCTGCAAGAATTCACCGCTCCATGACTGAAATATCTTCTGTGTTGGCACTTCATTGCCAGTGAGACATGAGTAAACACAAGTGCTAGAAGCTGTTGGCCCTTTGGAGAAGTACTGCCTATGGATTGCAAGTGGGTAGTTGGAATTCTCCTCAGTTCAAGCGAAGATGATTAGGTTACTTCTTCTTGTTCAAAACACAAAGAGGGTTATTTTCCTTCCCTTTGCATTTGTTGTGTCATCCTAGAACAGGAAGAATGAGGGAGGAGTGGAATGAATATACATATGTATATAAAAACACTCTTGTAAATAAAATTGAACATATGAATAGCTAAATATGATCCATCACAACTCATGTTTAGTACATTTAGCCTCATTACAAAATGTGCATATAAAATATATATGCCAGAGGGGAAAGGTTTAATGGGATATACCAAAAGTTGCTAATAAATCTCATGTATGAAGTAACTTTCAATATGTGATATACATGTTCCTATATTTTTTCTAATTTATTGGGCAATGAACATACTCTGCTTTATGTACAGAATAATAAATTTAATTCCATTTGAAATTCACACACGTAAAATATCACATGACAATGAAATAAGGATATATTAGTAGGTGAGCCTTACTTTGAAAAAACAATGCTCTTCCTGAAAACAGTAAGAATAGTGTCCTATTTTTGTTAGTCTAACATTCTGGGATTTTCAGTAGTGAGATCTCTTTCTAAAGAAAAGAAAGGAATGTGTGTGAATCACTGAATGGATCTTAGTTAGAAGAAACATTATTGGGTTATGCTTACAAGAGCTAAGGGTATATGCATATCCATGAATTATCTATAATTCAAGCTTGAACAATTGTTGATTCTTAACATGTGCTATTATATCACCCACACATCTGTTTCAGTTGGAGACTTTGTGAAAAGAACTTGACTTGCTTTTAATAAAGATGGGTCCATTTTTACCTTTAAATAATTTTGGCTATATCATGTGTTTATGTATATTTTATTTAAGTTATACAAATTTCATATATTTCCTTTATACCATTTTAGGAACACAGTGGCAGTTCATGCTCTACTCTCCCTCCCTTAGAGTGAGTTTTGCAGATAGAATTTCTTTAAATGATGAAATCAAGATGGCCAGTCTTCAAATACATCTTTATTGGTCATTGGATCTTGTTACCCAGGAAGGAATTTGACCTCCAGTGACAACCCTCTAATAAGAGGAGGGACAGATGCTGGAAATGGAAGACAATGGAACCTGACAAGAGCATTCTCAAATGTCCCCAAGTGAGATACTGCATTAAATTTGTTAGACAAGAATCTGGGAATGTATAACAGTGCCCACCATATCTTGGCTTCTCAGCCCGTGTAAAACAACTGCCTTCTCATATGTCTTCATCTCTAGGAGTGTCAGCTTCTAGCATGGCTAATGCCTTATTGCATTGTCATGATGTAATTTTCAGTTTTGTTTGTGTAGGTATTGGAGACTGCTTTATCGCATCTGTGTATGAAATTTCCTCTGATTGAAATATTTGGGATGCTTATTCCTGACTGGACATTGATTAATGTTTTATTTGTTTTGATTGTTATAAATTCATTCTTTCAAGTACTTTAAAACCGATTATGGGTATGTAGCTATTTTCTTTTACTGTTTTGTGTGATTACATTAAGTATTCATATTAATCAAAATTTATTATATTTTTTATATTTTTATATAGTGTCATTTTATTTCTGGAATGAAGTAATTTGTGTTATCAGTGAGGAATATTGCAATATTCTTAACTTTCTATTTTTCACACATAGAAACCTTTTATTTAATGAGTAGAAATTTCACAAATACAACTTTAGGAATATAGTGATTCTTCTCACCATACCAGTCCTACCATTTACACTCCCATCCCTCCTTCTCCTCCCTCTCCCCTTCCCAGTACCATTCTCCATTAAAATTCATTTTCTATTAACTTTATACACAAAATAATACTCTATTCTAAGTAAAGATTTCAATAAATTGCACACACATGCATACACAAAGAAAAAAAACTATTTGAGAACTTTTTTTTTATTTGACAGGTAGAGTTAGAGACAGAGAGACAGGGAAAAAGGTCTTACTTCCATTGGTTCACTCCCCAAATGACCACTACAGCCAGCGCTGCGCCGATCCGAAGCCAGGAGCCAGGTGCCTCTTCCTGGTTTCCCACACGGGTGCAGGTGCCCAAGCACTTGGGCATCCTCCACTGCCCTCCCGGGCCACAGCAGAGAGCTGGACTGGAAGAGGATCAACTGGGACTAGAACCCAGCACCCATATGGGATGAAAGCGCTGCAGGCGGAGGATTAACCAAGTGAGCCACGGCGCCGGCCTATTGAGAACATATTTTACAGTTAATTCTCATAGTACAACTCATTGAGGACAGAGGTCCTGCATGGGAAGTAAATGCACAGAGAATCCTCTTGATAATTTAACAATTAACACTCTTATGTATGGTGTCAGTGACCACCTGAGACTTGACATCAGCTGCCTAGGCTATGGAAGTCTTCTGAATCTACAATTGCCGTTAGTATTTAGACAAGACAATAAGCAAAGTGGAAGTTCTCTCCTCCCTTTAGATACAAGCACAGCCTTCTTAGACGGCCACTTCTTTCTGCTGAGGTCTCTCTCACAGAAATCTTTCATGTAGGACATTTTTTGCCACTGTGTCTTGGCTTTCCATACCTGAAATGCTCTCATGAGCTTTACAGTCAGACCAGAATGACTTAAGGGCCTATTATGAGGTCAGAGTGTTACTTAGCAATTGTCATTCTGAGTCTGCCAGGTAGACCTCCTCCCTGTTGGAACATTCTCTCCTTTTTAATCCTATCTATTATTATTGCCAGACACTTGATCTTATTTAGATGATCTCTTTTAACACTTAGTCCTATCTATATGATAATTTTAATACTTAATATGATCACCTTAACACTTAAGATGGCCTTTTTACAACTCAGCTTAATGGGATTTGGGGTCCCATTGCAAGTTTTTAAACTATACCCTTAGAAGTACATAGGAATGTATACAGAACTATACAGCTTTACAATTACAAACTTCCTCCTTATTCTCTTATTCACATTATTATTTTTTTATTTGACAGAGAGTTAGAAAGTGAGAGAAAGAGACAGAGAGAAAGGTCTTCCTTCCGTTGGTTCACCCCCCAAATGGCCACCGCTGCCGGAGTTACGCCGATCCGAAGCCAGGATCTGGGTGCTTCCTCCTGTTCTCCCAGGGGGTTACAGGAGCCCAAGCACCTGGGCCATCCTCCACTGCCCTCCCGGGCCACAGCAGAGAGCTGGACTGGAAGAGGATCAACCAGGTCTAGAACTCGGTGCCCATATGGGAAGCTGGCAGCGCAGGCAGAGGATTAACCAAGTGAGTCATGGTGCCAGCCCCTCACATTATTATTTTTTACTGAGATCAATTTCAGTTGCCTTTATGCACATATTATTATCTCTATGTTAAGTAAAGAGTTCAACAAATAGTACAAAGAAGAAAAGAAAAACAAAACTGTTTCTCAACAGTTGCTCATGGACTGTTCAAGACACTGCTTCCCAGTGTCAATTTCACTTCTACAGATTTTCTTATATGTACTTTATTAGTTATCACAGATCAGAGAGAACATATGGTACTTGCCCCTTTGGGACTGGCTTATTTCACTAAGTATGATGTTTTCCAGATTGATTAATTTTGTTGAAAATGACTGGATTTCATTTTTTTAACTGCTATGTATTAACTTTCTATTAATTAACAGACAAGTAGCTTTTTTCTTAAAAAATATTCATTTATTTATATGAAAGGAAGTTATTGAGAGGCAGAGGAAGAGAGTGAGAGCGAGAGAGAGAGAGAGAAAGGTCTTCCATCTTCCAGTTCACTCCCCAGATGACTGCAAAGTTCGAAGCTGTGTCACTCTGAAGCCAGGAGCCAGAAGATTCTTCCGTGTCTGCCATGCAGGTGCCAGGGCTCAAGGACTTGGGCCATCTTCTACTGCTTTCTTAGGCCATAGCAGAGAGCTGGGTCAGAAGAGGAGCAGCTGGGACTCGAGCTGGCACCCATATGGGATGCTGACACTTTAAGGGGCAGCTTTAGCTACTACATCGTAGCACCAGCCCTGATAAGTATCTTATATGCTCATTTTCAATTCTTACTATGTAAAGGTAATTGTTTAAATGAAACATCTACCAATATTTTACCAGTACATTATTTATAAAACAACAATAAATCAATGAAAAAATAGGAAGTAAAGTTCATGATTGCATGTTGCTGAAGTCTACAAAAATTATAGAATGTATAAAACAGTTTTGAAATCTCTCAATATCTGTTTGACCAAAAAGTTATTTTTCATGGTTGAGTAAACCAGTAAGCAATTTCCATATATCTAGCTATGCCGGCCTGTAGCACAAAGAACCAGGTTTCCTGAAAAAGAGAGTGGGCATGGGGACAAGGACGCAAAGAATGGAGCCAAGACAAATTCTGATCAAGGCTCCTTTATTCAACAAATCCAGCAGTATTCAAACATGACCAGTTGTATACAAGAAGGCACACAAAAGATTTACATATCTAAAAGACTTTTGGGGTTACAAAGAGTTCCTGACAAGGTTCTTCTACTTAACAGATCCTAAAATGTTATCAATCATTGATTACAAGGGTATAATAAAACACCTAGGTGATAAATGCAGGTTTTAAGTGTGATTGATTAGCTACATCATCTCTTGTAAGAAGTGTAACAGTGAGATAAGGTTCTTCCTGCCTCTTCCTGGAACCTCCTTAGCCTTTTGTCCATGCTGTGATGTCTCCATCCATATGTTTAAGCATAAGCAAAAAGACTGTCTGCAGCTGCCCACTTCTAGCAGTTTTTATTTCTTGGTAGCATTTTATAGATATAAAAAAAAAGTTGAGATCACTCACACTCAAATTACAAAGCCTTTCCTGGCGCTAATGCTGTGACGTAGTGGGCTAAGTCTCCACATGTGGTGCCGGCATCCCATAATGGTGACAGTTCATGTCCTGGCTGCTTCACTTCTGATCCAGCTCTCTGCTATGGCCTGAGAAAGTGGTGGAAGATGGCCCAATTACTTGGGTTCCTGCGCTCATGTGGGAGACCCAGAAGACCTTCCTGCCTTCTGGCTTCTGATCTGCCCAACTCCGGCCATTGCGGCCAATTGGGGAGTGAACAGCAAATGGAAGACCTCTCTCTCTGTCTCTCTCCCTCTCTGTCTGTAACTCTACCTTGCAAATAAATAAATAAAATCTTAAAATCTTTAAAAAAAACCTTGTTCTTAATTATAGATAAATAACCTATTAAAAATTCCAATTTTCCAAGTTTTAGATTATTTGGGAAACGCTGGATCTAATAGTCTCATATATGTTATTAGTTTTAATGAGATGATGTAGTTAACACAGTGTTAAGAATGAAAAACTCACAAATTAAATGAAGTTATAATTCTGTCTGACATAATTTCATATTTAATGACTCAGGGCAATTGAAACAGACATTGAGAGTTTAATGAGATATATTGAGATCAATGTTTAGAAAAAATTATTCTGTGAGAATTCTGTCTTGTCTTATCCATAATCTATTTATTATTCTTTGGATCTTGGAAATAGTTAATAGGTTGAGTAGTAGTAAAAAAGACATACAAGTGTGCTACATTTGTCTGCAATTCTATGAACCTTCAGTAATAAATAATCTTGGGAAAAAGTGTGTTTTAAATTCACCTACTTTGGTTCTTTTCCTCTCCATTCTTCAGAATGGTTGTTATTCATGCATAATATTGTTGAGCTAATAATCTCTGCTTTCCAGTATGCTTTTCCATATATCCTGATCAAACTGTCTTCTAATGTTTTTTTAAAGATTCATTTATTTATTTGAAATGTAGACTTACAGTGTTCATGGATACTATGAGAAACAGTGACTTGATCAACCCTTGCCCTGATTGTTGATGAACAACTTAATACTTTACCCCTCCTAGTATTTTTTGTTTGTTTGTTCTACTTAATACTTTTGGTTGAATTCTGTAATTAATACACAGTTATTCTTAAGTGTTGAAACTTAACTGAAAAGTGATCCCTGTTAAATATAAGAGTGGGAATAAGAGAGGGAAGAGATGTACAATTTAGGACATGCTCAAGCTGACTTCCCCAAACAGTAGAGTTAGAAACGTGCCAGGGGATTCCAATTCAATCACATCAAGGTGGCATGTACCAATGCCATCTCACTAGTCCAGGTGATCAATTTCTGTTCACAATTGATCATAATGATAGGACTAAGAGTCAAAGGGATCACATAAACAAGACTAGTGTCTGCTATTACTAACCAATAGCATAAAAAAGGGAGAGAACCATCCAACATGGGAAGCGGGATAAACAGCAGACTCATAGAATGGCAGAAGTCCTAAACAGCACTCTGGCCTCAGAATCAGCCCTTAAGGCAGGCGGATCTGGCTGAAAAGCCCATGAGAGTATTTCAGGCATGCAAAGCCAAGACACTCTGTCAAACCCACCAGAGAAAAAAAAAAAAACAAAAACAATATGAGCCTAATAGGGTTCACGGTCTCCACGAGTGAGATCCCAGTGGAAAGAACAGTTCATCAAAGAAGGAGGTACCTTTCTCTGAAGAGAGGAGAGAACTTACACTTTGACTATGACCTTGTCTAAATATGATCAGACTCGGTGAACACAAAAGGCTTCCATAGCCTTGGCAGCTCATGACAAGAGCCTAGGGTGATTACTGATGCCATAAACAAGAGTGTCAATTTGTTAAGTCAACAACAGGAGTCACTGTGCACTTACTCCTCATGTAGGATCTCTGTCCTTAATGTGTTGTACATTGTAATTTAACGCTATAACTGGTACTCAAACAGTGTTTTTCACTTTGTGTTTCTATGTGGGTGCAAACTGTTGAAATCTTTACTTAATGTATGCTAAACTGATCTTCGTATATAAAGAGAATTGAAAATGAATCTTGATGTGAATTGAAGGGGAGAGGGTGCGTAAAAGGGGAGGGTTGTGGGTGGGAGGGAAGTTATGGGGGGGGGAAGCCATTGTAATCCATAAGCTGTACTTTGGAAATTCATATTCATTAAATAAAAGTAAAAAAAATAAAAAAAGAAATGTAGACTTACAGAGAGGAAGATATAGATAGGTAAATAGATGATAGATAGATAGATAGATAGATAGATAGATAGATAGAGACCTTCTGTATGCTGGTTCACTCCCCACGTGGCTGCAATGGCCAGGGCAAAGCCAGGAGTCTGGAGCTCCTGCTGGGTTTAACACTTGGGTGCAGGGGCCTCAGCACTTTGGTCATCCTCTGCTGTCTTCCCAGAAACATAAGCAGGGAGCTGGATCAGAAATGGAACAGCTGGGACTTGCACTGGTGTGCCCATGTGGGATGCTGGTGTCACAAGCAGAGTCTTAATCTGCTACGTCATAGTGCCAGCCCCATTCTTCTAACTTTTACTTACCTATTTTTTTATTTGAAATCAAGAGGATAGTGAGAGATAGACTAAGAAATAGTTTCCATCCACTGGTTCACTCTACGAAGACCTAAAATAGCCAGGGCTGGATCCAGCTGAACCCAGGAGTCCAGAGTTCCATCTGTGGATAGCTTGTTCTCAACTACTTGAGTCATCACCTATGCTTCCTAGTGTGTACATGGCAGAAAGCTGGAGTTTTAAGGCGAGCTGGGACTAGACTCTAGTAAGGCATCCTAAGTGTAATCTTAGCTGCTCTGCCATACACCCACCCTTTCTGAAAAATCTGATTATTATTTTTAACTATGCCAAATATTGCTATTTTTCTAAGAGGTAAAATTACACAAAATGTTGTGCTTAAGACTTTTGTCACTTGCTACCCGTTTCTTATACTTCTTCAAAATTCTCACATTCATTTATTCCTTTTCTCATTAAGTTGTAGATACCCAATCTCATAAGTTTCTGATGAACCATTCATGGATTGGATTTCACACATGTTGGAAGATATTTATATATTTTCTTTTGTCTCCTACATTCATACATAAACAATAGTTTGCTATATATACTTTGTGGTAATTTGCATTTTTATCATTGACAGTATAATTTATATACTTCTTGGATAGCAATTCCTAGCAGTTCACTGCATTTTTTTTATTCTTTGTCATTCAGTTGTGTGGTTACATTTTTTGGTTTTAATTCTTTCTTCTATCATTAACATTATAATGTGAGAATTTAAACATATGCAAGAGGTTTGGGGACACAAGTCATGCTCATTCCATAGTAAGACAAATGAATATTGGTGTATATTTCTTACATGTCCACAGGTCTTATAGGGTATAATTACTTAAACCTGTATTGAGCACTTGATGTACTAATGTGAGATAACTCTCATGACCATGTTTGTCCAGGATTTGCACTTTACAATAAAAAATTTGGGAATGGCCCTATGACCTTCAGATCCAAAATGCTAAATAACAGTTGTTGCCATGATAAATTGTGTGCAATGTACACACCATTTTTTGACAATGCTTTAGTCAGCTGGAGCACCATCCTGCATGTCAGGCTGTGCAAGATTATTTATATACCCATACATATACATATATTTCTTCAGATAGTGCTATTTTTTCCAGTAGATTCAATGGAGTCCAAGAACCAAGGAAATGGAAACAAGCTTATTCCTGATTATCAACACTCCTATTATGCTCACCACAATTGTGTGATTGGCGAATTTAGTGTAGAGGTTTGATTTGTCCAAAATGGAGCATGAATTCCAGGTGATACAGAGACAGAGCTGATTAAACATAAGCGGCCATTGTGCATGCATGGGTGTATTCTATTCCAAATGTCAAAGTATCACGCAGGAATTAGTGTCACTATCCAGGCTGAGAAGTCGATCCTGGAAAGGAGTTGACAAGAATGTGGTACATAGTAGAGTTGAGGATGTTTGGCAGCAAAGTGATGTTCTGAAGGTCCAGGAATGACTTGTCCCGGTGGTTCAGTGTACACTACATAGAGAATCCTCAACTGTTATCCCTTCTGAAATTTCTACAGTTGCCAGAGCTTCAAGTAGTTTTTTGAGACACCTAAATCCAACAATGAATTGAAGTGCAGCTACACACTTGGCCACATCAGCCCACTCAAGTCAGCACTGAAGGATCATTGTAACTCATGATCACACTGTGACATTTGCTGAGAGTGTTGCTGGTCTGCCTGTAGCTCAGCTTCTCCGTCTAACCACTCACTGCTTTCTCCCCTCCACAGGATTGCTGTCAAGTGTACTTTGCACATGATAATACAACAACTTGCATGATAAACGCCCTTATACAGACTTTTCTCCAGAGAAAATGTTACATGGGATGTTCAGGAGCTATGACTGAGGCGAGGGCTGCCTTAGGAACTGGAATCAGGACAAGAAGAGCTATCTGAGTCAGGACGCCTGAAACACATATTCCCTAACTTCAGTTCTCTAACCCCGCCCTAAGAGCCTCATTACCCTGAGAAAGATGCTGCTCTGAGATTCAGTGTAGAGAAGGAAAAACAGATACTGTTTGTCTGAAAGCAGCAACTGACTGGCAAAACCAATAGGTAATATGAAAAAAATACTCAAATTTTATTATTTAAAAATAGAATAAGCAATTTTAAAATATAATCCCATTTACAACTAACTTTTCAGTGCTTATTTTTAATGTTTCCCTATTTATTTAATGTAGGTTGTTTTCCTCATTGATATCAGCTCCTATTTTATCTATTTATCTGTGTATCATATGTCTGCTTGCATATATTTCTGATCTATTTTTTAAAGATTTTATTTATGTTATTTGAGAGGTAGAGTTACAGACAGTGAGAGGGGAAGACAGAGAGAGGGGTCTTCCCTCCACTGGTTCACTCCCCAAAAGGCTACGATGGCCAGTGCTGAGCTGACACAAACCCAGGAGCCAAGAACATCTTTCAGGTCTCCCATGCACATACAGGGGTCCAAGAACTTTGTCATCCTCCACTGCTTTCCCAGGCCATAAACAGATAAGCAGAGAGCTGGACTGAAACAGGAGCAGCTGGAACAAGAACTGGCACCCATGTGAGATGCCAACACCTCAGGCAGAGACTTAACCTACTATGCACAGTGCCAGTCCACTTCTGATCTATTTTAATCTGGGGGGAAATATCACATAATGAGCAATAATATCACAAATAAGTTCTATAAGACCAATCTGAGTGGCCACCACCACCTGATTAACACTAAGGGTTAGGATCAAAGGAAAAGGTAGAGACTATCAACTGCGTGCATACAGGGAATGCACTACTAAACCACACTAGCAACCTAAACTTCTTTCTATTTACTTGAAAGGCAGAGAGTTACAGAGAGGCAGAGGTAGAGAGAGCGAAGTCTTCCATCCACTGCTTACTCCCCAAATGGCCACAAAGGCCAGAGCTGGGTCAATTCAAAGCCAGGAACCTGGAGCCTCCTCCAGGTATCCCACATGGGTGCAGAGGCCCAAGGACCCTCTCCTGCTTTCCCAGGCCACAGCACAGAGCTGGGTCAGAATTGGAGCCCAGGGGAACTGAACCAGTGCCCACATGAAATTCCAGCAATGCAGGAAGCAGCTTTACCCACCACACCACAAGCACTCACCCCTATAAGTACTTTTTTTTGGATAACATTTAGTTTGTCTCTAATTTTTCTTTTCTATTAGCTTTCATTCTTCAACTTTAAGAACTCTGCTTTATATTAAGGTTATTAGCTCTTCATAATCTATGCTGAAATACTTTGCCACTAGTTTATCCTTACTGAATGTTTATGATGATTTTTAAAAATGTAGTGAACTACCCTATCTACTTTTGTCCTGGGAAGGATGTATCCACACTGCCGGCTGGCTTGTGGAAGTGGAGGATGGAGCTGAAGCCCTGACTCGCCTCTCTGGCCTACCCCATGCTTTTTGTCCAGGTTTCACCAATTCCCATGTTGGCAAAGATGGTATTGGGGGGCCCCTTCCCTTTGACACGGAATGCATTCAGGGAAATGCCATTCCTTAATATTGTGGTAGTCAGCAACCTTCTGCCCCTCCCTCATAAACACAGTGCCTATTCTGCCTCAGAGCTAAGGGAAGGTTGGCCTGTGTCTCCCCCTCCCGCTCTGTAGGCTTCTTGTAACGTCTTGGTTGCTTCTGGTCTTTCTAGACTTGACTGGGACTGAAACAGCAAAGTATGAGACCTTAGGTCCCAATCTCTCCACTGGCCCTGCAATGCTCCCAGTAGGCCTCGGGCCATATCTCTGCCTTTCCTTGCATAATCTTGACATCAAGAAGCTGAATTCTGGCTTTATATCTGGAGCCCATCCTATTATGCATAATAAACTTTTGATTTATTAAAAATGTATGTAGGAAATATTGGATTCTTTTCAGTTAGTTTTCTGAGTTATCATTCGTTGGTAAATTATTTTCATACATGAAGATTAAAGGGGAGAACACCTGTTTATTTCTCTTCAGACATGCAAAGTTTGAATTTTATACAATATAAATTTTAAATTTATATTGAAGTTCACTTTAGTCTTCTTAATGGAATGAAATAATAATTTTAAAAGTTTTCCTTTGCATTATCACTGACTATAAAGTTTTCCCAGTGCAAATTAATTTTAGTATACATGCTTTAGCTTTTTTAATTAACATGATATATATATGTACATATTTACAGGAATAATGTCATATTTCACTACGTATATACAATATGTAAAAAGCAAGTCAGAGTAATTGGTATATCAATCAAATCACATATTTATTATTTGTTTGGGGAACTTGTAAAGTCATCTTGATTAGCTATTTTGGGATATACAGTTAATGGTTTTCACATTACCCTACTGTGCTATAGAATATTAAACGTTATTTCTTCTATTCAACTCTTCCCCAGAAACAAGTGCCAATTATTAAAAAGACCCTGCTGTCTCAGGGATGAGAAGACACCATCCTAATACACTAACTGTCATATGTAATGCTCAGATCACAGACTTTCTATTTTGCTGGACTAGTTATCTACTCAGCATTGGTGTGACATTGTATTCTGATTACACAGCATTCATTGCACTGTTGTGATGTGTGGCAAACCAGCCCTTCTCATGCTTCTCACCAAGTAAGTGTTTTGCTTGCTAAATGTGTTTTTCGTTTTCCACATAATCTTTGGTATTTATTTTTTTAGCTTTAAAAGAAAGGTAGCTGATAAACAGTTTATTGTGGTTACATTAAATAAATAAATAACAAAGAACTGACATATCTACCACATTGTATTATCTTAAGCAAATAAAATGATGTCTAGTTCCTAAAGAGCACGTGCTCAGGTGTTCTTGTCTATGCAAGAAATCATTCAGATGTGAGACAGAAAGACAGTAGCAGTAAGCATGCTAGCCTGGTTTAAGGGAAAGAAGTCATGAGGACAGTACAACTGACAGACCGGGTGGACATCTAGGTGAAGAACTAAGAGCTCATCTGCATTCAGACTAGAGCTTTCATAGATATGACATGAGTTCAACACCACCCCGCCCCAACACCCACCCCCTTGCTGGGATGTCTCACTGGGCAGAGGACTTCCTTCCTCCCAGAACTTCATAATAACGCCTTTGGTGCAGGGCAGCTCAGAATCCCCTAGACTGTCCCAAGGGAGAAAGCTGGGACCCATCCAAAAAATTATTCAATAATGACACAACCTTTGTTATGTAGATGCTGGTTTATGTCCACATTTTTCTTTATTTCACCTCACAGAAATTCCCGTCTTTCTTTTGGCTCTTTGTACACACATAGGTTCATGCTTACAAAGTTTCATTAGCATTCTTTGAACTTCTCAGGTCATAAATACCCTTCACTTAGGTTTATAAATTTTCCAGCATATGTACTATACTTTGCAGAGATATTGATGGCCTTTTTCTTGATGGAGATCAATAAATTTAATCGTTTCAGGGGTCAGAATTTTGGCATAGCGGATTAAATCCCCAGGGACAGCATCACATATGGGCGCCGGTTCAAGTCCCAGCTGCTCCTCTTTCGATCTAGCACTCTACTATGGCCTGGGAAAGCAGTAAAAGATGGCCCAACTCCTTGGGACCCTGAGCTTATGTGGAAGTCCTGGAAGAAGCTCCTGGCTCCTGGTTTCAGATCAGCTCAGCTCTGACCCTTGCAGTCATTTGGGGAGTGAACCAGTGGAATAAAAGACCTCCCTCTCTTTCTGATTCTACCTCTCTCTGTAATGCTATCTCTCAAATAAATAAAATAATTCTTAAAAAAATTGTTTAAGACCTCCACACATCCTGTGTGGAGGAATGTTTTCACTATTTCAATTCTGGCAGTATTTCATGACATATATGTTCAAGTGTAACAAGTTGTATACTTCAAATATTCTCATTTTCTCAGGTCATTGTTTTGGTTATACCTCAAGAGAACTGTAAATTAAAAAAAAAAAAAAGTCCACTTCAGGATGGCTTAGGAAACAATCTAACTGTCCTATTCTGAGATACATCGGAAGTTTTTGAAAACCATCAAAGAGCACTCCAATAAGGAAGGTGATATTCATGTGTGTAGTTAAAGCTATAATGGTCAAACTATCTTCCTCTCACAAAGCTTGTAGTTGTACCTTACGATAAAGAAAGTACTTACTCTGTACTATAAAGTAAGCTGTATCTCATCCAAAAGTTTATCAAATCATTAAGAAACAAATTAAAAAGAGAAGTATAAAAATTGTTCAAGGGGCCGGCAATGTGGCACAGCAGGTTAAAGCCCTGGCTTGAAGTGTCAGCATCCCATATGGGCGCCAGTTCAAGTCCCAGCTGCTCCACTTCCAATCCAGCTCTCTGCTATGGCCTGGGAAAGCAGTGGAACATGGCCCTTATATTTTTCTTTATTCTGGCACCTTATATTTTTCTTTCTTTTTATTTTTCTTTCATACTACCTCACACATTCTTGATGCTTAGTGGTATATAGCATCATCTGTCTATTATCGCCATCCGCTTAATTGTCTTTGAATCATCAGTACATCTCATTGCAATTTTTTTCTAAAATCTCTCAAATATGGCTTGTTTCTCTATCAAATGTTTATAAAGCTGTGAACTTTGCCTTCCCAGCCATTTTTACAATTTGAATTCAACATTTTTAGTAATAATTAGTAGAGATCTACCAAGTGGAATCTGAGGGAAATTAATCTTTTTTTATGAAGTACCCATTGTGTATCTTTTCATTTTCCTTCCTTTTACTTGTAGTCATTATAGGTATCAAATAATGATTGTTAAGAAATAATAAAGGAACGAAAATCATCTGCAAAATGGAATTTACAAATGTTCAGATGAAAGTTTCAAAACAGCTCTTTTAAGGAAAGTCAATGAAGTATTAAAAAAGGATTCAGTTTTATAACACAGAGAACTAACAGAGAGATGGACATATTTCAAATAAATCGAACAGAAATCCTTCAGCCAAAAAATGCACTAAACAAAATTGAAAACATGCTAGGAGGCATCAATAGCAGAAGAGATCAAATGCAAGACTCAGTGAGCTTGAAGACAGGTTATTAAAAAATATATTGAGGACAACAAGGATCATGAAGAATGAAGGGGCCAGCGCTGTGCCATAGCGGATTAAGGCCCCAGCATCCAGTGCCAGCATCCCATATGGGCACCAGTTCAAGTCCTGGTGGCTCCACTTCTGATCCAGTTCTCTGCTAAGGCCTGGGAAAGCAGTGGAAGATGGCTCAAGTGGTTGGCCCCCTGTACCCACATGGGAGACCTGGAAGAAGCTGGCTCCTGGCTCCTGGCTCTGGATCAGCCCAGCTCCAGTTGTTGAGGCCATTTGAGGAGTGAACCAGAGAATAGGAGATCTCACCCTCTCTCTGTAACTCTGCCTTTCAAATAAATAAATAACTCTTTAAAAAAAAAAGAATGAAAAAAGCTTATGGGAACTTTGGAACAATTAAAGAAAAAAATATTTGAGTTGTTGAGGCCAAAAGGGGACTTGAGAATTCAAAAGGGATACATATCATGTTAAAGAGATAATTTCAGAAAATTTCCCAAACGTAGAGAAAATTACAGCTATCCACTTACTGGAAGATCAGAGTGAGTCAAAGTCAATTCAAACATGTATTCCCTGATATATATGAAATTAAGGTCTTCAAGGTCAAAGATAAAGAAATGATTATCAAAACTGCAAGAGAAAGGAAACAAATAACACATAAAGGTAGCTAAAGTTACCTAGTGCAGGCTTCCCGGCAGATTAATTACAGGTTAGAAAGCAGTAGCGTGACACTGTCACAATACTAAAGAAAAATATTCCAGGTAAGAATACTGTACCTAGCAAGGTTTTTCTTCAGATATGAGGGACAGATAAAAGCATTAAAATAAACAAAAATTGATAGAATTCGTCACCACCAAATCTGACTTACCAAAAATGTTAGTTATTCAAACTTAAAGATAAGCTAATGAATATGAATAAGATATCAGAAGGTAGAAAATAAACTGTTAAGAATAATTGCACATGGGTGGACACTTTGGCAGAGCAGGTTCATGTGTGACTTGGGATATGCACATCCTATAGTGAAGTGCCTAGGAAAGATTCCTTTGTTGCTTCTTCTGATCCAGCTTACTGCTAATGTACCTGGAAAGCAGTAAATGATGGCTCAGATACTGAGTCCCTGTCACCCATGTGTGAAACCCGGATGGGTTCCTGGCTCCTGTCTTTGGTCTGGCTCAACCCTGGCTTTTGTAGGCATTTTGGAAGTTAATTGGTATATTGGCAGATAGAAAATCAGATAGAAAATTTCTCTCTCTCTCTCTCCCCCTCAATTTTTCAAATAAATAAGATTTTAAAATGAATAGTTTTATAGACACATTTAGAAGGCTGCAATTTTTTGAACATGTGGCAAAAACCATTTATATCTCAATATGAAGAATAAAATAAAATAATTTTATAAACAGTAATAACTGCATTAAATGTTAAGAAATAAGCAATATAGGAGGAGTTAAAATTGGACATATAAAATTCAAAATGTGAGGAATGATGGAATGAACATGAAGAATTCTTTATTAGTATTTCTTACCTGTTCCTTTTATTTTTTTTTCCTTTTCACAGCTTTGTAACCTCTGCTACATTTTTATCATTTCAAAATACCTTGTTATAACCTAGAGAAAATTTTAGTAAGTCTCATTATCACCAGATAGCAAATATTTGAATTATACTTACAAAAATTATAAGGAAAGAATAAAAGTACATTACTAGAGAAATTCACATAGCCACAAAAAGAGATCACAAAAGAGGAAGAAATAAGGAAGGGAATTACAATAAAACTGGAAAGCAAGTATGAAAGTGGCAGTAGTAACACCTTACCTATTAACATTTACCTTAAATGTTGAGGAATTAAATCCTCCAGTTAAAAAGCACAGAGTGCCAGAATAAAATTTTTAAAAATGACAAACATATATTCTGTTTACAAGGAACTCAACTCACTTTTAAGGACATCCATAAATGGAAAGTGAAATTATGGAATAAGATACTGCATGCATTGGAAAAACAACCAGAACCAGCTATAATTATATTATTAATTTTGACAAAGATGTTAAAACAAGATGTTTTTAGAGTTACAAGGTGATGGATATATGAGAACTCTGTATTACTACTTCACAATTTTTTGTAAATGTAAAACTTCTGAAATAAAATGTTGAAAAAGAAAAATATTTTAAATTGAAAGCAGTAAAAAGAGACAAGGATAGTCCTTATATAATGATAAAAGGCTTATTCCAGAAAGAGGAAATAATGATTGCAAATATATTTTCAGCCAATACCTGAGCTCACAAATAACTAAAGCAAATATTAATAAACATAAAGGGAGAGATTGACTCCAATATAATAATAACAGTAAACTTGAAAAACACACTTTCAGACCAGTACATGTCATTCAGGCAGAAAATCAGAAAACAGCTGTGTTAAATTGTCCTGAGATCAAATGGACCTAAAACTATCTACATAGTATTCCATCTAAGAGCTGCATAATACACATCCTTCTCAACAATACATTGGACTTTACTAAGATAGACTCTATAGTATGTCAAAAAACAAGTACAAACAAAATTTTAAAAAATAGAAATCATATTGAGATTTTTTGGTCTGACAATGCAATAAAATGGAAAATCAACTGAAAGAAAAGCTTCTTAATATTAATAAATGCATGGAAATTAAACAGCTTACACATGAACAGCCAATGAATCAATGAAGAAGAAAAAAATTGCTAAAATATAATAATGGATATACAGTACATCAAAGTCTCAGGAAAACAGCAAAATGAATAGAGTTTACAGCAATCAATGCCTAAATAAAATAGACAGAAAGATCTCGTGCAAACAACTTTTCACTTCAGTTCAACTAACTGTAAAATTAAGAATAGATGAAACCCTTAAATACTGGAAGTAAAGAATTAATAAAACTCAGAATAGCAAAATATGATGTAGGAACAATAAAATACAGATAGAAAAATCAATGTAACAAAGAGCTGCTTCCTTGAAATGATAAAATTGTCTAACCCTCAATAAAAATAAGTAAGAAAAAAAGAAGACAGAAGATTAAAATACATAAAATAAGTGATGGAAAGAGAGACATTACAAATGATAGCACAGATGTACGAGTGATTTTTACAGATGAACAATATTTCAGCAAATTTGATAAACTAGCAAAAATAGGCAAATTCTTGTCCATGTGTATCTTACCAAGATTGAATCATGAATAGAGTACCTAAACAGAACAATAATGAGTAGCTCTATCTAATCAGCAGTACAAAATCTTCCATCAAGGAAAAGTCAAGATTGAATGGCTTCACTCTCAAAGTACACAAAACATTAAAAAAAAAAAAAAAAGAATCAATACCAAATCTTAAGTATTCCAAAAAATAGAAAGCACATTTTCCAAATCTTCATGTGAAACTAGTGTTACCTTGGCACCAAAAACAAATAAGGAGACACACACACACACACGTTTTAGCAAATATCCTTGATAACTACAGATGTAAATATTTTCAGCAAAATGACAGCAAATTGTACCAAACAACACATTACAAATATCATTCTTCATGATGAAGTGTGATTTATCCCAGGGACACATGGTTGATTCTACACATAGAAATAAATATACAAAATACACAAGATTACAAGATGAAAGTAAAAATATCTTACAGTCATCTCAATAGATATTGAAAAGGCACTTGATAAAATCCAGCATCTATTAAAACTTTGAAAAAATAGGTGGTGAATGAACATACCTCAATATAATGGTTATATATAACAAACCACAGCTAAAATCATACTAAATGGGGAAAAGTTGGAGGCTTTCACTCTAAGATATTAAAGGTTTTCTAAAATGAACAACTGTATTATAAACACAGTGTACAATGGAAGAATTCAGATAACATTTATTTAACCTACAAAAGAATCTATTGAAATAATCGAAATATTTGAATATGACATCAAATTTCAATTTATGTGAATGACCAGTTTTCAGCATTTCAAAAGATCTGTGATGTCAAACTTAAGGGTGGCACATTCAATTTTTATTTTTATCTAAATGCTTAAAATACGCAAAATCTTAACTTGTGGCCTACCACTATTGGAAAGAAGTTATAACTTTAAATTCCAACTCTGATATTTTAGACATTAGCAGTAACCTACCCCAGAAGTCATAAAATGTTGGAAAACATTATAAAATACAGTTAGGAAATCTTCTATAATATAATAAAAATTAATTAAGCTTCAATTTAATTTTAAGCTACTCACAAAACATGATTTTTTAACTCACAGTGATTACAAAAGCAAAATATATAAAGTTAATTTTTATAAAATATGATTGCTACAAAAAACTACCAAAGCACTTAATTAATCTCATACCTTTTAAGAGCTCAGTATGGTATCAACTTGATTTCTGATATTTGAATGACTCCATTCTCTAAACTTAATTACATACATATGGAGCTCATTACTGGATGTTCATTTAGAATGTATCCAATTATTTCACTCTAGACATTTTCATGTTTTGTTTATGTTGTCAAAATATTAACCCTTAAAATGCACTCATTTTTTTCTCCAAAGAAACCTTTTTTTTAAGGAATACAAATTTCATAAGTACTGCTTTAGGAATATAGTGATTCTTCCCATCATACCCACCCTCCTACCAACACTCCCACCCCTCCACCTCCTCCTTCTCCCATTCCCAGTCCCTTTTTCCATTAAAATTTATTTCAATTAGCTTTATATAAGGAGGACCAATTCATATACTGTATTATGTAAAGATTTCAACAATTTGCACACATATACATGCACACACATACAAACTGTTTGAGACAAGTTTTGCAGTTAACTCTCATAATAAAACTCATTAAGGACAGAAGTCTTGCATGAGAAGTTAGTGCACACTAACTGCTGTTGTTAATTTAACAATTAACACTCTTTGTGTGACATCAGTGACCATCTGAGGCTCTAGACATGAGCTGCCTAGGCTGTGGAAGCCTTTTGAATTCACAAACTCTGTCAGTATTTAGACAATGCCATAAGCAAAGTGGAAGTTCTCTCCTCCCATCCTTATTTGATGAACACTTCTTTCTATTGGGGTCTCACTCACAGAGATCCTTCATTTAGGACATTTTTTGCTACAGTGTCTTGGCTTTCCATGCCTAGAATGCTCTCATGGGCTTTTCAGCCAGACCAGGATGCCTTAAGGACTGATTCTGAGGTCAGAGATGCACTGATTTTTAATTTGTGTTTGTATTTCTGAACATAGGGGAAAGCATTTGGTATAGCAGTAAAGTTGATTCTTAGGACACATGAATCCTCTAAGTACCTGATGTGAGTCTTGTTCCTTCACTTCCAGTTCAGTTTTCTGCTAAAGTGAACCCTGGGAGGCGGTAGGTAAGGGTTCAAGCAGGTGTGTCCCCACTACTCATGTGGAGACCCTGATAATGTTCCTGGCTTCTGGCTTCCACTTGACTAGCCCTGGTCAGTATAGGCATTTGGGGGAATGAACAAGAGATATAATATCTGTGCTGGCCTTTCTTTCTCTGTGTCTCTGTGTCCCAGCTTCTCTGTCTCTCTCCTCTCGCTCATCTCTTTCTCTCAATTCCAAATAAAATGGAAATAAATAAAAATTTAACAATATATATTTCTTGACATACAATCAGTCATGAGTCACAAGGAAGTAAACTTAGGGCTGAGGAACACTTCTTTCATCATTACACCTACTCTAAATCATTGACTGGGGGCCTTTCTTTAGAATAGTTTTTTGCATGATACTGAAATGAGGTACAGAGAGTTAAAATATATGTTTTATGACATTTAAACAGTTGTTTTCTTAGAAATTTAGTAGAGATAAAAGACTATAGTAAAGAAATAAGATTTGAGTGGGCCGGCACCATGGATCACTAGGCTAATCCTCCTCCTGTGGCACCGGCACCCCAGGTTCTAGTACCAGTCAGGGTGCTGGATTCTGTCCCGGTTGCTCCTCTTCCAGTCCAGCTCTCTGCTGTGGCCTGGGAAGGCAGTGGATGATGACCCAAGTGTTTGGGCCCCTGCACCCACATGGGTGACCAGGAGAAAGCACGTGGCTCCTGGCTTCAGATGGGCACAGCGCACCGGCCACAATGCACTGGCCATAGCGGCCACTTGGGGGGTGAACCAACAGAAAAAGGAAGACCTTTCTCTCTGTCTCTCTCTCTCTCACTGTCTAACTCTGCCTGTCAAAAAAAAAAAAAAAAAAGATTTGAGCAAAATTCATTGATATATTTTAATGCCCATATTTATATACTTTCATTCTGAAACTCAGACATATTGCATGGAACAGACTGCAATTTCATCACTCACAGAAACAAACAAAGAAGCAATAACATTACATGACAATGCCTTTTTTTTTCTGGGAAAGCTAGATGTTATCTGACCCACTGGATAGGGACTCCCAAATAATGACCAAACTATCAAAAGCAGAGAGAAACAACATTTCTAGCAGTTGTTATTTAAATGTGGTTATAGAAAGATTCTGTCCCAAAATTAAAATAATCATTGAGATTGACATTTGGCATAGCAGTTAAAATGTCTGAATCCCATATTTGAGTCCCTGCATTTGAGAAAATAAGTAGCTCCTTTTCTGATTGCAGATTCTTCCTAATATGCACCTTGAGAAGCATCAGGTTATGACTAAAGTAGTTGGCTCCCTGCCAACCACAATAGAGACCCAAACTAGGTTCCCAGCTCCTGGCTTTGGACTGGTCCAACCCTGAATATTGTGAGCATTTTTGGAGTGAAGAAAATGAGGGTCTCTGGCTTTCTATCTGACTTTCGAATAATTACTTATTACTTAATCTTTCTACCAATTTTACCTGATGACTGAGTGTAAAATATTATTTTACATATTCTGTGTAACTAACTGATTAACTCAATAAATGTTTGTTTGCATATTGTCATATTAAAGAAAAATTTATAAGTTTCATGCATTTTATATTATGGTAGAAAAGATATGCAAAAATTATAAAAATTCTCAAGTAGTATTGCATGTTATGTAAAAATGGGATTCTAAAAACTTTAGTGAATAAAAGGCTGGAAGTTAGCACTTTATAAATTATAACTCTATAATGTAATAGTTTGATCAACATATGAAAGAAAAATGATGTAGCTGTAAAAAGAAAGAATAATTACCAAAGATCTATTTTTTAAGATTTATTTATTTTTCTTGAAAGTCACAGTTATACACAGAGAGATGCAGAGTGAGAGAGAGAAAGAGAGAGTGAGAGAGAGAGAGAGGGATAGGGAGAGAGAGGGAGGGCTTCCATCCACTGGTTCTCTCCTCAGTTGGCCGCAATAGCCGGATCTGTGCTGATCCAAAATCAGGAGCCAGGAGTCTCCTCCAGGTCTCCCACATGGGTGCAGAGGCCCAAGGCCTTGGGCCATCTTCTAGTGCTTTCCCGGGCCATAGCAGAGAGCTGGATTGGAAGTGGAGCAGCCAGGTCTCAAACCAGTGCCCATATGGGAATGCCAGCACTGCAGGTGGTGGCTATACCCGCTATGACACAGTGCCAGCTGCAGATCTATTGCTTTAGAGGAATTTTCTCCTTTCAAGAAAATACAAGGGATGACACTATGGCATAACAGGTAAAGCATCCTCCTGCACTGCCGGCATCCCATATGGGTGCCACTTCAAGACCTGGCTGCTTTACTTCTCATCTAGCTCTCTGCTCAAGTCCTTGGGCCTCTGAAGCTGCATGGAAGACCCAGAAGAAGCTCCTAGCTCCTGGATTTAGATTGGCCAAGCTCTGGCCTTTGAGGCCATTGGGGGGAATGAACCAGCTGTTTCAAGACCTCTCTCTATCTCTTTCTCATCCTCTCTCTCTCTCTCTCTCTTGCTTATTTTCTCTCTGCCTCTGCCTCTCTATAACTCTGATTTTCAAGTAAATAAGTTAATCTTTTAAGCAAAAAAAAAAAAAAAAAAGAAACTATGAAGATTCTCTGCATTGTGAAATGGCTGCTTAGTTTGCCACTTGCAATGTTGGCATACTGTATTAGAGTGCTGGGTTAAGTTCCTGCTTCTCTGCTTCACATCCATCTTCCTGCTGCTGTGTCTGGGAAGGCAATGGGGCATGCTAAAGTGCTTAAGCCCCTGCCACCTGTGGGGGATTCTTAGATGGAATTTCTGCCTCTTGGCTTTGGCTTGGCTCAGCCTTGGTTATTGGCCATTTGGGGACTGAATCAGCAGATGGAAGATTTCTGTCTCTGTCTCTCTTTCTCTGTCACTCTAACTTTCAAATAAATAAATAAATCTTTAAAAAATAATGCTTATATTCCAAGATAATAGTGTATTTGAGAGACAGCTAAGATGAAACATGAAGAGACTGGAAGTAGCCATGTAATCTAGGCAAAGAGTTCAAATATGTTGTTTTCTCAGATTTTTGACCATTGATACACATTTACTTATTTATTACTTTTTATTTATATAATGAACATTTTCATGTGTTTCATATATAAAGATTTAGGAGAACAAAATTTTTCATATATACAGATTTAAGAACATAATGATAATGATTCCCAACCTCCCATCCATACCCCCAGCTTCCTTCCTCTTTCTTTCCTTTTTCTTCTAATATTTACCATGACACACTTTCAGTTTATTTTATAATCACAAGCTTAACATTCCACAACTAAATTGAGTTCTTTATGGATTCCAGATAGTAATCTTTTATTAGTCACATAGCTAGCATATATTTTTGCCCATTCTGTCAGTCGCCTCCTCACTTTGTTGAGTATTTCCTTTGCAGTACAGAAGTTTATTACTTTGATGTAATTCCACTTGTCTATTTTTGCTTTCCTTTCCTGTGCTTTAAGATGTTTTCCCAAAAATCTTTTCCTATGACAAAATCTTGCAGAGTTTCCCCAATGTTCTCCTTTAGTAATTTGATGGTATTAAGTCATAAATTTAGGGTGCTGATATTTGGACTTGATTTCTGTATAAGGTGCAAGGTAGGGGTCTTGTTTCATACTTCCACTTATATATGTCCAGTTTTCCCAACACCATTTGTTGAAAAGACTGTGTTTGCTCCAGAGATTTATTTTAGTTCATTTGTTAACTATCATTGCTAATGATACACATAAATGATATAATTAATTGATTAACGCAATAATTGATAAGTTCTTAAAAATTGTGACAAGAGAAAATGAAAATACACTGTGTATTTTTACTTGTGAAATAAATTTTCACATTAAAGCAGTGATTTCCACATTGCAAAAAACAAAAGGATAAATCTAGGAAGATGATTTCACTGGAATAATGAGATTCACAGGAAATTTTAAAAATTCTTTAAAAGGAATTATAAAATATGACATTAGGTAAAGTCAGTCATTCAGTTGAGATATTTTTCATGAAATATATGCTTACTATTTTATGGTTATTTCATAAGCAGGCTGTTTTATCTTTTATTGAAACTTCATTTTGCCCTAGGGAATGCAGCTGCCACAAAATGTGTTATCATTACACGTATGTCAAGAAAGATAGTATACACTTCACTAAAATGCACTCATTCAGCACATTCATTTGGCAACCTCCAGCTGCTACACATCTAGAACAACCTTGAAATTATCTGCTGTACTGAGAATAGACAGCAAGAATTACTTCAGTTCAAATATAAAAATAATTGCATAATATAACAGCTTAGTCCTTTAAATTTACATAAAACCAAACCAATTACAGATATTTTTTTCCTGAAAAAAAATGAATACACTGCATTAAATCAGAACAAAGTAGAGAAATCATGGTAATTTAAAAGTGTAATTGGATTATAAACCAATAAAATTGCTTGATTTAGTAATACTTAAGGCATGGTTTTAACAATTATAATAATTTCATTTTAACTTATTTTGGTTACTTTTACCAAATACTTATTTATGAGTGAACTCCATAAAACTTTTCTATTTATCAATATATATTAAAATAATTCCAGAAATCATTATCTGAGCATAGAATATTTAGGTCTAACATGGCACCAGTAAAATGTATCTGTTTATTTTAAAGATATTCTTGATGATCTTTCTTGCATTTTACAATAAACAAATTGAGAAGTTTGCATAGATATTGACTTTTTTTAAGATATATTTATTTGTTTGAACGTCAGAATTACAGAGAGGGAGGAGAGTCAGAGAGAGAGTGAGAGAGAGAGAGAGAGGTCTTCCATCTGCTGGTTCACTCCCCAATCGGCCACAACGGCCAGAGCTGTGCCGATCCGAAGCCAGGGGCCAGGAGCTTCCTTCAGGTCTCCTATGCCAGTGCAGGGGCCCAAGTACTTGGCCATCTTCTATTGCTTTCCCAGGCCATAGCAGAGAGATGGATGGGAAGTGGAGCAGCCAAGACTGGAGCTGGCGCCCACATGGAATGCTGGCACTGCAAGTGGTGGCCTTACCCACTACACCACAGTGCCGGCCCCTTCACTTTTTTTCTTTTTTTTTAGATTTATTTATTTATTTGCAAAGCAGAGTTACAGAGAGGCAGAGGCAGAAAGAGAAAGAGAGAGAAGGGGAGAGGAAAAAGAGAGAGATCATCCATCCACTCATTCACTCCCTAAACGGCTGCAATGGCCAAAGCTGGGCCAATCCCAACCCAGGTGCCAGGAACATCTTCCAGGTATCCCACATGGGTTCAGAGGCCCAGGGACTTGAGCCATTGTCTACTGCTTTCCCAGGACATCGCAAAGAGCTGGATTGGAAGTGGAGTAGCTGAGACTCAAACCAGTGACCACGTGGACACCAGCAATGCAGGAAGTGGCTTTATCTGCTAAGCCACAGTTCCAGCCCCCTATACATCCACTTTCTCATGGAGTGTCTTTTTGCATGGTTATGTGTGTGTTTATTTTAAATTAGAGTTTTGCAATATTTATATATGAATATATAGGTATGCATTTATATTGTTTTTGTTTTAAAATATTTTAAACCATACACTTATTTGAAATGGCATTTTTCTGAAAAGGAAATATTCAGTATTTTCACGTAGGTAATTCCATTCTACACATAATCATATAACCTAAAATATACAGCAATATTTTCACTGTTAGGGTTTTACTTCCATAAATAGTAGTAGAAACCAAACACACACTCAGGAACACAGAGATAAGACAGAAAAAAAAAGGATAAATACTTTGTAGATTCTCAAAAGGATAACTTCTTGGAAACTAAATAAAATAATTTGGATGCTTGGATGTGTTCTATACTAAATCATTCCCACACAATAACATTTATTTGCCAGTAAGCCTTAGGTGTTCGGTTTGGGACCCGTGTGAGTCACATTGTGAAATCAGTCTTTATGTTCAGATTAAGTGAATCAATTATGTAATCTGTGTGAACAACTGAGGTTATATATACCAATAGGAATTACATATTTTACTTATTGCTGCTATGTATTTAAATATATTAGATATTGACCCTTGCTGTGTATTAATAGTTATTGATAGTACCTCTAAAAATGACAATTTGGTTTAGGAGAGAAATAAAAAATTTCCATGTTTCTGGGTCAATTCCAGAAGGCATGTTCTGTATGTTCTCTGGCAATTGTGCTGCCTGGCCCACGTGATGAAAATCTGTACGAGCTGGTTAATCCTTAAATGCCCTTTTGGTAACAAATACTGACAAGGCAGAGGCAAATCTGCATTATATCTGAAAATAACACAGAAATAAATTGGCAGAACCTCTTTTATGTAGAACAAAATGATTCTTTGTAGGAATACTTGTGCAGAGTCTCCCAGGATGTAGATGTGTGTAAAATGTCATAATCAGCATCATAGTCTCCAAGGCCATTGCTATGTGACTGCAAGTGAAAACGGAGAAGCTTCACTTGTCAAAAAGATGTGGGATACGTGTGTATTCTAAAGTAAAATGAAGACATTTTGAATATGTAAATAACATTAATTTGGTGTGTATATGATCTAAAATATGTGCCTTTTCAGTAAACAGGAAATATTTATCCAGCAACATACGTTCTTGTTCATGGAATTCTTCCTTACCATTCATCTCTTAATGCAGAACTGTATCAACTGCGATTCTTTATTTCTGCTTAACAGTGAAAGAATAATCTTGGGATGTGTCAAATCCTATCATTTCACAGATGTGGTACTGAGGCCTTTCTTTCTGGTAATGACTGAGGAGATTTTAGCAAACCTTTCAAGAAGGCTTCTTTTTTGCATTACACCAACAATTATTCAATCATGCCCTTAATTCTACCTTTGTTTACTTACACCAACTCTCCTCCAAATAACACATTTCATGTATTCCATATACACTGTTTTCAGCCTGTAATTATACTTCACACACCCTCCCTCTATCCTTCTTACTATCTTTCTTATTTTTTCTTTTTCTTTTTTATAATAACATAAAATTTACTTTGTAGTCACAGGCTTAATTCTCATCTAAATAAAGAATTCAACTAGAAAGTTGAAGGACTACTGTTCTGCAGGATTATAGACAATGGCAATGAACAATAATGAGATTTAATGACATCAAATTTCATGCATATACTACATTACCTTAGTATCTTGTTTATTAGCTACAAATCAAAGAAAATATATGATATTGTCTTTTTGGGACTGGTTTAATAGTGCCTATTTGTTAGGCTATGGAAAAGGATAAATAAATATTGACTAGCAGGTTGCAGCGATACTGGAATGCAAGAGATGGAGCCCAGGCAGCAGACCAATACGTAAAGTGCTCAAATGCCGAATTCACAAGAAGTTGTTGTGGGGAACACATCCTGCCTGATGAAACTAGACACAGTAAGATAATTTAAGGGTGAGTGGAATGTTTGTTGCTTGGGAAAGCCTCTCGCCTAGAACATTCCAAATTGCCAAGACAATGTTTGCAGACTTCAACAAGGAGCCTTTAAGTTCCCCATCCATTTCATCAGGGTCCGTGTGGCTCTATGCGCCTTGTTCACAAGCACCTTAAACAGAGACTCTGCCTGCTGCTCAGACAGAATGAAGCTGGGCTTCAAACTCACTTCGCTCTGTCTGGGCAGGCTGTACTCACCCCCCTTTACCTCTATTCTGTCCACCCTAAAAATAAAAGCTTTCTACTTTCACAATTGTCTCCTCACCTTCTTGGAACCCTAAAAATCCTAAAACCTAACAAATTCTTCCTTGAAAATCTTTTTTTTTTTTTTTTTTTTTGACAGGCAGAGTTAGACAGAGAGAGAGAGACAGAGAGAAAGGTCTTCTTTTTTATCTGTTGGTTCACTCCCCAATGACTGCTGCAGCCGGCGTGCTGCCAATCTGAAACCAGGAGCCAGGTGCTTCCTCCTGGTCTCCCATGCCGGTGCAGGGCCCAAGCACTTGGGCCATCCTCCACTGCCCTCCCGGGCCACAGCAGAGAGCTGGACTGGAAGAGGAGCAACCGGGACAGAATCTGGCACCCCGACTGGGACTAGAACCCAGGGTGCCGGTGCCACAGGTGAAGGATTAGCCAATTGAGCTGTGGCACCAGTCCCTTGAAAATATTGTTTTAACATATGACCACAATATTTTATCTCGCAGTGCACATTAATAGAAAAAGTAAATTGTATATTATTTAAATATATATCGTACATTTTTCAGATAGTTGTGCTCTTTACAGTTATCAGAAACAGAATTAGTTATCTCCGAACATGATCACGCATTCTCATTTTCCAGGAATTTTTTAGAGGTATTCAAAATCCACTATGGATCTATAATTCCTCAGTTTTTCCTTCTCATTTTTATTTGATCAGCTTTTTGTTATGCACAGTGGTATTGCTGCCTTAGGCAACTCCACTTCAAATAATTACTGGTGTTATTTTCCCCACACTGAAAGCCCTAGCAACAGAGGTCTGTCCAAATAAAAGTTCTGATTCAATTCAAATAAAGACAAGGCCATAGAAAGGAGGTTTCAGAGAGCTTTAAGAGAAGTCTATTGTTTACAATTCTCTGGGACTGAAAGTTTGGAGAGCTTCAAACAGTCTTCCTATTCCTGTAGCTTCAAAGCTGCTTGACTTCACAGCGACACCAATTATGAGGCTGTTGGTTTTTAAGACCATTTTGGAACTGGGGGAAGGAGCTGGCAAACAGACAAGTATAGATGTCAAAAGCTCACTGTTCTTGCAAATTCAGGCTGTTTCTCCTTGCACAGACAATTTTTGGATGTTTTGCAAGCCTCTGCTAATTTTTAGAAATATGGAAAATTGATTCTGATAATTTTGCTAATGTTTTCATTACTTTTAGAGTTGTAGACATTTTTATAATTTCTTGTACTGCCATTACATAAGTATGTCTTCCTTTCACAAAAATATTCTAATGAATATTTATGGAATATTTTATTTAATTTTTAAAATTAAAAACAAAAACGGTGGGGAGTGTTTTGCTGCAGTATGTGTGAAGCCCTGCATGTAATGCCAGGACTCTGTATCAGAGTGCCCTTTGGCGTCTCAGCTCCTTTCCTTCTGATCTAGGTTCTTGTTAACATGTCCTGAGAAGGCAGAGCAAGATGGGCGCTTGGACCCCTGCTACCCATGTGAGAGACCTGGACCTGTGTGTTCCTTGATTTCAGGCTCTTGATTTCAGGCTTGCCAAAATCTGGCTGGATGTTGCTGCCATTTAGGGAGTGAACCAATGGATGGAAGAACGATTCTCATTCTCTCTCTCTCTCTCTCTCTCTCTCTTATTGCTAGTATCTCCATCTCTGTGTCATATTTCAAATAAATGAATACTTAATTTTTAAAAGATTCATTTTACTTTATTTTATTTATTTAAAAGACAGAGAGAGATATAGAGAAAGAGAGAGAGGACGCAATAGCTGGGGCTGGGCCAGGCCAAAGCCAGGGGCCTAGAGTTTCTTCTGGGTTTCTCACATTGGTGCAGGGGTCCAAGCACTTGGGCTGTCTTGTGCTGCCTTCCCAGGCATATTACAGGGAGCTGGATTGGAAGTGGAACAGCTGAATTTCGAACTGGTGCCCATATTGGATGCCAGTGTCGCAGGCAGAGGCTTAACCCGCTATGTCACAATGCCTACCTCAAATAGATAATTCTTAAAAAAATGAAAATGTTAATATGGTAAATTGATTCCAAGAACATTTGAAGAAATATTTCTCATTACAAAGAATCTTACATTTAAAAGCATGCTTAAATTAGGTTTCTAGGTTAGAAATAAATCTAGCTAATCTAAAAGTCAATAGAATCAACAGAGTAATTACTTTGGGGTTCCTTCCATTTTAAAATAAAAATTAACTGGTTAACTGGTTAAAGTGAAGTGTAAATTAGTTTTCTGGGATCCAAACAGATAATAAACAGCAGAATCAAATGAAAACAGCCTTCTAGAACACTGAGACCCTTGAATTAGCCTAAGTGTCTATATATTGTAGTCTGCTCTTCCACAACCTTTCTTAGTTCCCTTTACTTCTTTATAAGTGCTAATTGTCCTTTTTCATTGATTTATCTTCAATGGACTCACACTTATATTATGCAAACCAAGTTAATTTAGAAGTGATATATATGTAGAAAATTCATATTTATACTATAAAATGGTTCTTGCTTGAAATTATGTTATTTGAACTGTATTGTAATAAGTGAACATCATAACACATAACAACCCCCAAAAATGAGTCCACATGCTCAACGCTCGGAAACCAATTACAGTCATTGAGAATGTAGAAGAAATAAGGTTTTTATCGTGAAGCAAAAAGCAAAGAGCCAGGAAGCTATCTCTTAATTCCCAGGTGCCCTGGAGAGTTAGGAAATAGGGGCTGATGTTGGGGTTGAGGGGTGGGTGTTCAACTCATGTTGAAATCCCTGGTGGGTTTGCCCTGCTCCCGGCTGTCTTTTGAGTATCTAGCAACAATGTGTTCTTTAGGGAAGTCCAATGATATAAAAGTGTCGCGAGTGCTTTTGCTGTCACACAGCTAGACAGTAGCAAGGTGCAATGTACAACTTGTTAGTCACAGGGAAGAAAGGAACTCAAGGACATAAGACTGCCTTCATGATGAAGATTTTTATTGCTTAAATACCAGGGATATTATCACACTTTTCATCTATTTATTTACTGGAGTCAATACACTTATCAATATCAATATGCTTATCAATCTTTTTTTTTTTTTTTTTACAGGCAGAGTGGACAGTGAGAGAGAGAGACAGAGAGAAAGGTCTTCCTTTTGCCGTTGGTTCACCCTCCAATGGCCACCACGGCCGGCGCGCTGCAGCCAGCGCACCGCGCTGATCCGATGGCAGGAGCACTTGGGCCATTCTCCACTGCACTCCTGGGCCACAGCAGAGAGCTGGCCTGGAAGAGGGGCAACCGGGACAGAATCCAGAGCCCCAACCGGGACTAGAACCCGGTGTGCCGGCGCCGCAAGGTGGAGGATTAGCCTAGTGAGCCGTGGCGCCGGCCCGCTTATCAATCTTTACTATTTAACACACTTATCAATAAACTTAACACAACTACTTAACGTGACTTAACTACTTAGCTTAACATAACTACTTATCTTAGATTAACTACTATTTAACTTAACATAACTACTTATCTTGACTTAATTACTATAATAACACTTAACTACCAGAGTAACACTATTTCTTTAATGACTAAAGAACTACTGGAGTCACCATTAATATCAATATCAATAATACTACTTGAACTTAGTCATTAATCCACAGATCACAGCACACAATAATAAAGTAATTTCAAAGACTATCCAATTATAATAGCATTGCTTTTATTCATAGGGTCAAAGCATAGTTATATTACACATGACTATATGTTTAAGCTTATGTTGCACGGAAATAATACTTTTAAGATGAGTTTCTAATAACTACCACACTCAGTATTTTTTTTGCGAAGAACATTCTTTTGATTCCTCTCTATATTTGCATCTAACTGCATCCCATGCAGACATGTTCCTGTGTGTTAATAAGAAGGTTTCTTTGAGCCTTCTTGGCTGCATCTCTGAAGCTCCCAGATGGATTAACAACCAGGATTACCCTTTACAAATGAAGAACTGTAACCTACTTTTTGAAACATATTCATTCTGTAATTAGTGCTGACAGACCACTTTTTAAATAAATTGTGTCATCAAGTGAAGGAATCTCTTTGAAGGTTTAAAAAACAAGCACAACACAACAATGGACATTTTGTTGCTATAAAGACAGTATAAGCATATACTAATATTCTAAGTACATCTGAGATTCAGCATCATGTATTACACTGTTTGTTTGACAAATGAGCAGAGAACAGCATCAGATCCTAGAGCAGCTCTCTGCAATGTCAAAGTCAGCTGGATTAATTCAGTGTCCTATAGATCCTTTCCTTGATTAGGGATGTCATTTTTCCAAACTAGAAAGAAATGAAGACATTATTTGTGAAATTATATGATCCAAAGAGTGGCATTATCATGTACCCCCAGCATGTGTTTATAATAATATGAAATGTGACAATGAAACTTTGAAAGATGGAATATAAGATATAGTTTTATGTTTAAAATTTCTATAAAATTAATTGATAGAAAAACTGGTTCAACCAGGATTGGTAGATTTTCTTAAAATAAATCTAGTGAATCTAAGAGTAACATGGAAGAAAAGGCATGTGTGCATTGTAAAATAAATTGCATTTAAGTATATTCCATAAAAGTACTATAAAAAAGACAGTGTTGTTTAGAAGTAAGTACATGCACAGGCTACACAGCCACACACACACACACAAACACACACATATACACACACACTCACTAACGTCATCTCTGTGAGGACACAGAAGCAATGATATGCCCTTAGCAGAAATCATGCCCTGTGCCCAGAATTTGTGTTCTGAATATACTAGAACTGGGATTGGAAAAAAATGAAACTTAAGGGGGATCACCTTATAGTGCCAAAAGATAGAGCTCAAAAAATAAAAGGGCAGAGGTATGTAAAACAAACAATATCTATATTCCTTAGGAACAGTGGGTTTTTCTACTTTCTACTTGTGGAATTCTTTATTTAGTGGAGGATTTTCCTTGTGATTATGTCATTGCCAAAAATTAAAATAAAAATAAAAAAGTAAGGAGGAGGAGAGTGGGGGTTATGAAAGAAGGGTTGGAAGAATCATTATAAATTTGTATAAATGTAATAAGTGAAATCATTTCTCTC